CCCGCGCGCCGGCCCCCTCCCCTTCCCTCCAGCCCCTCTCAGCCTGGGCACATCCTCCAGCCGCCCGCGCACCTCTCCTCGTGGTCCCCGCTTCGCAGCTCGGCCCTCCGCTGCGCTCGGCTCCCGCAGGCGCTCGGCCCCGGGCCCCTCGGCCCCCGCCCCGCCGGCCGGACAGGTAAGGCATGGCCTTGGCCCGCCCCTGGCCCCGCCCTCCCTCCTCACCTGGTAGCGTGCCCGGACAAAGGTGGGCTACCTGGCGCGGTTAGGGGCAGGGCGCGCGGGGGACTGTGGTTGGAGGTGAGGATGCTGCTTTCCTCCCTGCCCTCGCGGCCCTCGAAGCCGTCGGTCCGTGTGTCCGCCGCCTCCGCCCCTCGCCGCGTCACAGCTGGGCTCCAGGCTCTGCTCCCGGCCCCCGCGTCCGCCCACCTTCCGCCGGACGCTTACTTTTCCACGCTCTGACACTCTGCCTCGCGCGCGCCTTAGCCGCCCTCTCTGGGTCGCGGCTTTCGCCTTCCCTCCTCCTCCGCGCTAGCCCTCCTCCCTCTGGGACCGCGTCTCTCTTTGTCTCTCTGTCTCTGAGTCTCTGGGCGGTCTCCAGGACGCGGGAGCGGACCGGAGAATCCGCCACCATTCGAAGAAGCTTCGAAGACTCCCTGCGCCCCGGGCAGAGCTGACAGGCGTGTCCTCCTGCCCCTTTCGAGGCTGCCTGGGGGGCTAAGGTGTGTTCCGGGGGAAGGAGGCTCGGCGTGCGCCTCTGCCAGCGCCGCCGGCGGCCACGCGCCCTGGCGGTTCTGCGCCCTAGCAACCTCGACGGCCCCGCTCTGGCCCTCTTCCTCCGCTGGCTTTTTCTCCATTTGCGCACCGGGGTCTCGGCTGCCTGCGGGGTTTGAGATGCGAGGGCTCTTGGGTTTCCCGCCAAGTCTTCTTGCTTCCCTCCACTGGGGGTTCCCTCGGCCTTCGCCTCCATCGGGTCTCCTGCCCAGCGCACCTTCCCCGCTGCCCTCCTCCCAGCGGGGGGCCCGCAGGAAGTGTCCCGGTGCGGTTCAGCATCATCTCCCAGGGATCAGGCAGACAGAGGCCCTGGGAGTGATCTTGGACAAAGGAATGCATTTTCCTGAGCCTCGAAGCCCCCTTCATAAAATGGGGATAACAGCACCTACCCACAGGGATGTGTGTTGAAACAGTGAAAAAAAAAAAAAAAAAAAAA